GATCAGGAATACATGTTTGTGTTCCTGACCCTATGGTGATCTTTTAAAGGAACACTATAGTCACATGAGCAATTACAGCTTATTGTGATGGGTATAGTAAGTTCCTGCCGGCTTTTTGCGGTAAACATTGCCTTTACACAGAAAAAAAGAGTTGCTTTAAAATTACAATAAAAAATCTAAAAGTTCTTAGTTGCAGCCTCCCTGTTGACAATCAGATAGTTGGGAGGGTTTGCTGTCTCTCTTGTTTTGAACACTTGCTCAAAACATATTTTTCGCAGAGTAGCACTGAAACAAACAATGTAAGTCCCTAAAACTTTATTGGGGTGTTCCTGTAACCCTTTAAGGACACATGACATGTGTAACATGTCATGATTCCCTTTTATTCCAGAAGTTTGGTCCTTAAGGGGTTAAATGGATATTGTAAGCACTTTAACAGCTTAATGTTTTTGAAGTTGTTATAGTGCCTACAGTGACTGCCTTGCCCCCTCCACCCCAAAAACACTTTAGTTCACTAATAAGTGCTTGGACGCACACACTGGAACATACAAACACATATACACACACCTTGACACACAGATACATACTGTGTGTTAAGGTGAGTGAGTGTGAGTGTGTGTATCTGTGTGTAAGACACACACAGATACATACATACAGATACACACTGTGTGTCAAGGTGAGTGTATTTGTGTGCCCCTATGTGCCAGTGTGTGTGCGCGCGCATCTGTGTGTCAGATACACACACACACTGGAACATACAAACACAGATACACACACCTTGGCACACAGATACATACACACACACAGATACACACTGTGTGTCAAGGTGAGTATCTGTGTGCCATTATGTGCCAGTGTGTGTGCATCTGTGTGTCAGATACACACACTGAAACACAGATACACACACCTTGACACACAGACACATCCCAGCACATACAAAATAAAAAAAAATAAAAAAAAAAGTTTTCTGCAACGGCGCAAGAGTTCCGCTGTTGATACACTATGTCAAAGGGTTCCACAGGAAAAATTAATTGGGAACCCCTGCTCTATATAATCTATACAACAAAGAATTCAGTCTGTTTTAAGGAGAAAAACTGTGGATAGGTGAAGCTAAAATAGTGTTAATTAAGATTGTTTTCCTTCTTCTCTTAGGGTGGGGGGGGGTAGGTTCAATTTGAATATCATATAATATATTTTGCAATCTTGTTACAGTTTTTACAAACAAGTCAGTTACACTAATCAGCTAGATTGCCAGATATATTAGGTCCAAATAGATCCAAGAGAATAACCATATGGAGATATGGGGATGTGCGAGGGGACAGGTATCCAACGAAAACAGAGGGGGCCTGATACAACACACGCTGCTCGGCTGGAGGTCGCTGAGGAACCTGGGCCACATCTCGCCTACTCCCAGCCCCATGATTCCGATTACGCATAATGTGACTTTAGGAGGACGACTACCATCAGGGGCATGGCCTATCGCGGGCACTAGGAACTATGTCCCCATCTATCAAGTTCTTGAAGGGGGCAGGCTGCGGGACCTGACCTCACTATTGGGGACAGAACCTAGGACCCCTCTTGCGGTCCTTAGATACCTTCAATTGCAACACTACTATAACTCGATGCCACATAAAGATCGCCTACATCGCGATCTCACTTGGTTCGAAGGCTTATGCGTCCGGGGCACCCCACTAGACCACGCAATCTCGGCGATGTACCAACACTTACTTATAGGGGATACACCTCAGGCCTCCACCTTTCGCCGTAAATGGGAGGAACAACTCGGAAAGACACTCACACCCGCACAATGGGATACGGCATTACTGTGGCAGCAGAAAAGCTCAATGAGTTCGTATTACCAGGAGGTTAACTACAAATTGCTCTCATTATGGTACAGGACCCCGATCTTGTTACACAGGATCTTCCCATCAATCAACCCATTGTGCTGGAGATGCCAGGCAGAACGCGGCACGCTGATACACATATGGTGGGAATGTAGGGACATCGTCCCCCCCATACTGGGCGATAATTAAGGAAGCGATAACCGACATCCTGGGAGACATCCCGGAATGGAGCGCGGAGCTGGCCCTGCTACACATCTCGACACAACCCATCCGGACGTACAAAAGATCTATACTACGCCACTTGTTAAACGCGGCCAAAGCTAACATACCGGCACTCTGGAAACAACGCATTATACCGTCGAAGACAGAATGGATCCGCAGGGTGGCAGACATACATGGGGCGGAAGACATTCACGCCACCCTGACCGACCGTAAAACGAAACATATGGAGATGTGGCTCCCCTGGTTCCTATACATTACCCAATACAGACAAACTGCAGACGCTCCTGTACCCACTAATGGAGCGGCAGCAGACGCTGGTTCCAATTGACGCAGACTAACCCACCCTACACCCCTTTCTTTTATACCTACTCCTTCTCTATCCTTCTTTACCTCCGCAATCGCTAAGCTAATGGGCTCCGGGTCTCGGGGCAGGGTTTAGGGGGAAATATTATTGGACGTGCAATCTGCTACACTCTCACGTCACATATGCTTCTAGCCCTCGCGGGGTCAGATCGATAGACCATAGCTTGGGGAACACGAGACATTCTTAGATACACACACTATTGTGGCACAAATCGAAGTAAGGGACAACACATGTTCATAACTTACGATCATGTACCAAGTAGACCTACATCACGCTCACCATATGCTAACGTTGGTACACACACCAATGACGTAGCACACTCACTCACACTGACAATCGCGTTGTCACTGACAACGGCATGTAACTCGCAATACGGGATATTGGCGAACTGCAGGCTCTGCCGGGATTGGTAACGACGTTGGCCATAGCGCATACTAGATACGAACTAGGCCTACTCCCACCATTTCTGCTCGCTAGGATACACCTAGCGACACCAAAACAGACCTACGGGTCCGAACCCAGCGGGAGCCAGTGGCCCGCCTTTCCTATAATGGCTTCAATTACCCGCCCAAACGACCAGGTAACGCATTGTCATGTGGCTCCCGCCATAAATAGTTGAGAACAACCTGTCCCGACGCAACTTCTGTTTACCCTTTACGCACACATTGGTTAAGTGAGGCAATCTGATTGCTCCAGCCGTTCCATTTTATATAATACACTGTTTCCCCCCGTCATATAATTACACTGCTTTTAAAGTGTGAACAGCATACTCATCTGGCACCCTCTGCGAGTCTCTCTAGGGAAAGTTGCGTGGAGATCCGCATACCTCATTGTATTGTATAATGTGTACCTATAAACTTCAGAAACCTGCGAGTTTCACACTGTTTACCAATTAACTGCTTTCCACATTTTGAAAATATCTCAATAAAAAGATTTACAAAAAAAAAAAAGAGAATAACCAAAATTTATAATATATATATATATATATATATATATATATATAATTTTTTTAACTTTTAATCTAAAAGTTAAAGTTACCAAACTGAATCCTGTCAATGTAAAATGGGAGCCACTTGGGGCCATAGACCTCATACAAGATTTTTTACATTGTCAGCACTTAGTAAATAGTCCCCAATAACAAAGGATAATGCAACAGTGTATCCAGGCTTTCAAAAGGTTAGAAGCCGTTTAATCTAAAAATATCATAACATCATTAGTCTAGCGGTGGCTTACTTGTGTATATATATATATATTTTGTATTTATACTGTGCAAAACAGGTTTATGGTCATTAACTCCTCCGGGATCTGTGGTTGTCCTGGCATGTCGTTGCATTGTTTAAAAAAAAAAAAAAAAGGACTTTAGCCTAAATACGATTTCTCACACTAAAACCAAACTACTAATACCTGACATTTATGAAAAATAAGCATGTCTTTTTCCAGTCTCCCTGTCTGAATACAGTCTGCAGCACTGCTTCCCCCAGATCTACATTTAAGAAGGAACACAGAGGTCTCCCTCACTCTGACAGCTCTGCAAGGCCTCACACACAAGCACAACACATTAACCCCTTAAAACGGATACATTACATTCTAGAACACATGTAGGGCGAGGGGATGCGGATACTCACACAAGACAGCTATGCCTGCTGTTCAACCACTCTCATCAGGGCTGAAAAAACACGAATGACAAACAAATGTGGGTGGGTGAAGACAGCCCTGCGACTTGTCCTAAAGCCGGCCAGGACTGTATCAGTTAGACTTTGACAAGTCACTGTGTAAAGATCGATCCACCCTCTGCATGTACACGCCTCCCACAGGCCATGACAG